TTCTCAAGAGTGATTTTGATAGCTAATGACATGCGAAACTATGGAGACATGTTAGATGTTAAAGTGGTGGAAAAAATCCTATGCTCCTTAAAAAAAAAGTTCAACTACATTGTTTGTTCAATTAAGGAGTTAAAAGACATCTATTCTCTCACTATTGATGAATTACACAGATCTTTAACGATGCATGAAATAAGTTTTGAAATAAAAATGATATATAACATGCTTTAAAAATGAGTTCAAAGGAGAAATTTTCCAAATGAGGAAGTCGTAGAGAAACCTTTAGAGGATGTGGTAGAGGAAAGGGAAAATAGAGCTTCAATAAAGCCATGGTTGAATGTTATAGAAGTCATAAACTTGGTCATTATCAATATGAGTACCTATCACGGGATAGAGAAGCAAATTTTGTTGAGTTAGATGAAAAATAAGACCCATTGTTGATGTCATATATGGAGATGCATAATGCAAAAAGAGAAGGGATATGGTTTTTAGATTCTGGATGTATATCACATGTGTGCAAACAAATCAGTTTTCAACATGATGGATGAAGCCTTCAGACATGTGGTAAAGCTTTGGAAACAATCACTACTATAGGAGGCACATTTTATATTGATTTTGGAAACAATGTAAATTAAGGTGACATAGAAAGTGTAATATATTCTATGTTAGTTTAAAGATCAATGAAGAAAATGTCATTTATACATAGATTATTGATAGAATTGGTGTAAAATATGGCACATTCTACACCGATACTATCAAGAACCGATGTATAATATGTCATTTTCTACATAAGTTCTATCAATAATCAATATAGAAAATTCAATATATATATATATATATACATATATATATTATATATATATATTGGTGAAAAGAAAAACAATATCATCATAAAGTTGGCAAAAGGAATAGGATATATATAGGAAGGATCCGTTTACTTTAAGAGTAAGTCTACATAGTCTTATTTCGTTCAATAACTCATGTTCTATATCAAATTTCAATGATCTAATCGTTGAATTTAAATTTCTTAATGCACAAATAAAATATGCAAAAAAAATTTTAAAAAATTGAAAATCATTTGAAATTTCGTTCCATAAATTCAAATTGACGAAAAATTGAAAATCACTTGATATTTCATTTCATAAATTCAAATTAATGGATAATCATAAAAATATGTTATCCGTCAATTTGAATTAATGAAACGAAGTATCAAACAATTTTTAATTTTTTTTTAAAAAGTTTGCAAATTTAATTTGTGCATTAAAAACTTTAAATTCAACGGTTGGATCGTTGAGATTTGATATAAAGTATGAAATATATATATATATATACATATATATATTATATATATATATTGGTGAAAAGAAAAACAATATCATCATAAAGTTGGCAAAAGGAATAGGATATATATAGGAAGGATCCGTTTACTTTAAGAGTAAGTCTACATAGTCTTATTTCGTTCAATAACTCATGTTCTATATCAAATTTCAATGATCTAATCGTTGAATTTAAATTTCTTAATGCACAAATAAAATATGCAAAAAAAATTTTAAAAAATTGAAAATCATTTGAAATTTCGTTCCATAAATTCAAATTGACGAAAAATTGAAAATCACTTGATATTTCATTTCATAAATTCAAATTAATGGATAATCATAAAAATATGTTATCCGTCAATTTGAATTAATGAAACGAAGTATCAAACAATTTTTAATTTTTTTTTAAAAAGTTTGCAAATTTAATTTGTGCATTAAAAACTTTATACCTTTCAATGAAATTTTTCTTAGCTGTTCAAAAAAAAAATTGTTTATATTAAATATGTGGTTGAACTAAATTGATGAATTGTATTATGTCATAAATTGTTTGTGCTTTACTTGATGACAAGTTGAAGTTGTATGGTTGATGAACCTTCTTGTTTTTTATTCTCTTCCATCGGTGATAGACACCATCATTCACATTTAACTCCCAGACCTTAATTTGCAGCAATGGGCTATTGGCTGCAGCACCACAATCAGATGGGATGCAATGTTTTCATCGCGCAACGAGAAGAGAAGGATGCATGAATCGAAAGCGGACGCCCAACAATGGCACTTGTTGAGCACGAGGAAAAGAGGGAAAAGAAAAAAACCTATGATCATTGAGGATGACCTCAAATAATTGCTTATAGTGGAACATTGCCTCAACGAACAAGAAAGGGAAAGGAGAGACGTATGGATAGAGGAGATGGTGGGTGCAACACGAGACGAAGGATATGGATGAAAAGGATTACGACCACATTCGACGACGATCATAAATCACTGCTATGGTGTTTCATGGAACCTCTTCCCTGACTTTTTTCTTCTTCTTTCATTTTTGTGTTTTTTCTGTTCCCATTGTTACGGTTTTGGGTCTTACAAATTTTGTATTTTTTTATATTATATTTTTTAATTCTCTCTTCTGGATGTTATGAGTTGCAACTTGCAAGAATGGGTTTGAGTTCATAAATGATGATGTTTTATGGATTGAGTAATGGGATGAAGAAGAGTCTTGACAGTGCAGATGAATGAAGCTTACGGTCTCTCTATTTCAAAGATTAGAGTTTAATTTACTGTAAATTAAAGACTTTTAATGATTTTAATTATTTTTTATTTTTTTTTCTGGTTAAAATATGCAATAACCAGTTATTTTAGTTAGAGCTGTCAAAACGGGTAACCTGGCCCGGCCCGGCCCGGCCCACACAGGTTGGTGGGCTAAACAGGTTGGCTCACCTAATTTAAAATTTCTTAATGATAAGGTTTTCAATTATAAAAAATTGATCCAGCCACAAAAAGCAAGGAAAAATCAGTTTAGAAGCAAACAGCCACAAAACAAACTAACTATGAACTAAAATATAAGTATAGGAAAACTGAAAAATGGAGATTGAATTGAATCCTACCCAAACAACAAACCATATAACGTTACCTAAAGCTAAAGGAGGAAAAATTATTCGTGAGCGAAGAGCGAGTTCACTTTCTAGTGACGACACCTGCTACTCGGAGTTCCACGCAAGGCCAATGAAGACGACGAGAGTGAAGAGCGGGTTCGAAAAGAAGCGCCTCTTGGGCTCCTGGCTCGCGGCGCGAACTGATGAGGGTGGGTGTGTGAGAATGAGAACTGATTAGGGTTAGGACGGAAAAGAAACCCTAACTTTATTTGGCCCAATAGCATTAGGTTTTTTTTTTTTTTTTTATGGGTTGGTGGGTCAGCCCGGCTCACCACAGGTTTAACCCGGGTGAGCCGGGTTGTTAGTGAGCCGAGTTTAAAATTGGTCCACACTGAAATTTTTAATTTTTTTTAGCCCAACCCGGCTCAAACCCGTGATGGGCCGGATTGGCTCACCGAGCTGAGCCCATATTGACAGCTCTAATTTTAGTGGTATATAGATGAGACATTTTTTTTAAGTGCTTCACCTTAGACGACACCGACACCTTACTTTTTACTCATGTATCATATATTTTGCACCAATGGTCATTCTCCATTTTTGTTACGGCGAATGCTAGAGTGAACTAGTAAATAAAGTGGTCCAGTAATTCACTACTGGAGAAGTAGGAATATCGATTATTACTAATGATAAAATTATGTGTTAGTCCTTATTTAAATAATTTGTATACTATTTGAAGGAATACATTCATACCCACGTAGGGGAAGCCACAATTGCCAAAGTTAGGTGTTGAAAGCATATGCCTTTGTTGTGGCTGTGGGTGTCACATTGCCATACTTAGGTTGTGGATTTAGCAAGAAATTCATGAAAACAAATAATTAAATAATAGATAATAAACAATAACGGCAAGGGGTTCGTGACAACCTTACACTTCAGTCGAACAAACAATAATTTGATGGAGGAAAACTATATTTCAATTTTACCAAAAAACTAATTTCACTAACGACATACAAATTGGAATGACGATCATCTTCTTTCCATATATTGTGCAATCCAAAGGGATGGGAATCACTCATCTACGAAAAAGTTGTTAGTATGCAAGACCAACTCTGTTTCAATTCACCTTAGGATTTCGGTGCACGCTTCATAAGAAAGACAATTTAGAAAATTACTACAAATCTATAAATAGATATAATTAAATAAAAAATATTACAAAGGTAATCGATATTTAATCTAATTCGTTAATTGTTCCTACTAAAATATAATGGGAGACATAAGACTGATCATTAGTGGATCACTTGAAATAAACATGTTTATGTGTCAGTCTATCGATAATTCGTATTTTTACTGGCTCACATAGAGTTTGTCTTTCATTGGTGTTCAAGATATCACATTAGTTATATTAATAACTGAAATTACTTATTCAAATTTCTAAAATAATTGTTCAGTTTATAATTAAATCTAAAACATCACTTTTTTTTTCTTTCTGTAAATTTATAAAAATTAAAATAATGTTTTTATCACAAATAAGTCAAGTATATGCAATAAAGCCTGTGTAGTATTGGCTACAAATTATATATACATAACATTGTTGATTACATTTATTTCATCATTGAATACTTAAATCGTAATCGATAATTTTATTTCAATTTCATGTTATTTATCATAAAATATTCGGATGTAACTTTGAAATCGAAAAATGACTAAAATAGTTTCGAAGAAGTACGTGTTTAATTGAATTTATTTTAAAAGAATGATTATTTATTATTAATATTTTTATACAATTTTTTAAAAATAAATTAGACTTAAATATGTTTATACTCTGTTGGAATTGAGATACATACTTTTTTAATCTCTTACATTTAAGATTTATATTTTTAATTTGTGTAATTTAAAAAATATTATTTTAAAATATCAAATTTTAATCTATATTATGATATTATAATATTTCTAAAATTATAAGTTTTAAATTTGAAAAATCAAAACAATTTTTATTTAGACAAGATTTTAAAATAGGAGAAAAAAATGCAGTGGAGTTAGTAAATAATTTAAAACAATCGTAATCCTATAAAGTATAAAGGATGCATGCAGCAAAAGAGAGAGAGATGGAGGAAAGAAAAGAAGAGGAAGTTTGCGTGTAATTGGATAAAGCTGAATTAAATTTAATACTGTAATATAAATGGGAAAATAGAAGAAGTAAAATGTAAATGGAAGAGTTGTTGTGATTTCAGGTTGGTAGAGAGTCGAGGCAGTGAGTGAAGAGCAGTAAATTTGGGGTGAATTGCATCGTTGATAGCGAAGAAAAGAATAAATTATAATTCAGCAAAGAGTCTGGGGCTGGTGGCAACGCAAACGATGTCGTCTCGCGTGTTGCTGTTTGTGTTGTTTGTGATTGCAGCGAGCGCCGACGATGCCAAACGCGACGACGACAGGGCTCCCAAGTCCGAATCCTGCAATAACCCCTTCCAATTGGTATTCCTATTTCCACTTCTCTTCTTTCGATCTGCCATTTCTGAAAGTTTGCTTGCAAGCGATCTCAATTTTATTAACTGCAGGTGAAGGTGAAGAACTGGGTTGATGGTGAAGAAGCCGATGTTTATAACGGTGTGACTGCAAGATTTGGCTCTCTATTGCCCGAGAAACCTGAAAATAGTGTTAGAACTCCCGCTATTTTCTCCAATCCCGTTGACTGCTGTTCCACTTCAACTTCAAAGGTTCCCTTTCCTTGCACCCTTGCTTGCCTTCATAATAATCGTTACCTTTGAAAATGTTTTCTGTTCCTTCATTGACTGCTATATTTGACGGGAATGGAGGCATGTTGAATGATTATGCATTCATGTTTTTACAGCTATCTGGATCAGTTGCTCTCTGTGTGCGTGGGGGTTGTGACTTCACAACTAAAGCTGCGTTTGTGCAGTCTCGAGGTGCTACTGGCATGTTGGTTATAAATGACGCTGAAGGTTCATTTTAGTGCTTCGCACACTATGGTTTCCATTTTTGTTTAATTTGTAGAGGATCTGTAAGACTGTCCAAGTGTCATAAGTTAGGCTTGTTAGTTGTGACTTCACTACTCATTTACAGTCGGTATAGTAAAGCCAGTTGCACAGACACTTTTTTAATACTTGAGCTTAGCTGTAGACAAAACTTAACATTAAATTTACTCATTGAAAAGCTTCTTTCATTTCAATTAGTTACTCACTCTCTTTTCTTTTATGTTAAGTTGAGAAACTTTTATATGATCATATTTTGTCAATGTCTAACTATTTCTTTTTGGTCAGATCTCTTTGAGATGGTTTGCTCTAATAGCAGTGAGACAAACATTTCAATTCCAGTAGTGATGATAACAAAGTCAGCAGGTGAAGGTCTCAACAACTCTTTGACATCTGGAAGGAAAGGTCAGGACTCCAATTCTTAGAACATCTACTTGTACAATTATTGTTTTTGAGCTTGTATATATATTAAACAATGTTGTATAATTCTAAAATGCAAATAATTTTTATGTTTTGTTTCTTCATTTATGGCTATAGTAAAATGTGTATATAAGACTTGGATTTCGATGGTGTTGCTTGGGAGTTGGGACTATAGACCTGATTAAGCCTAATGGGATATGGCCTGATTGTTGTTGTTTCTAGTAAGATGTATTTGAGGATTGTTTATTCTCCTCTCTTGTACTCATTGTAGAGTTTATTCCCCCCAGTAGAAGGAGACTAAAGTTGTTTGGTCATGTGAGAAAAAAACCATCAGAAGTACTAAGAGTATTTTCCCCATGATTTTACTTATTTTATTTCATAAATTTGCAAAATCTACGAGTATGTTATAAATCTCCAATTAAACCAATAGTTTGACATTGAAATCTTGAATCTATCTCTTTTCTGGTTCAGGGAATGCAAGTTTTAAATATATTGATTAATAGTGCCACTTTTAGGAACCAAGATATTTCTATATTAAAGGTCTATTCTAGGAGGCAAAGGAACCAATGAGATGCAGTGGGTGACTGATTACTGAGTAGCTTGGTCAGTAATGTGGGTAGTTAGAACCTATCAGCCATCATGTGTTATTTTAATAGGGATCTGTTCCTTTCATAATTTATATACATAAACTCATGAATGTACCTAACTACCTAAACATTCTGATACATCCTTTGAGTAAATAAGATGTGAAAAAAAGTTTGGTTTTGTCAACAAAATAGTGCTTATTCATTGTAGATGTCATGTCAGGTCTTTTATTCACTTATAGATGATTAATTTTGGTTTGTCTATGGCAGTGGAAATTTTGTTATATGCTCCACCTCGGCCACTTGTAGACTTGTCAGTTGCATTTTTGTGGTTGATGTCTGTTGGAACAATTGTATGTGCTTCACTATGGTCAGATCTAACTACTCCTGAGAAGTCTGATGAACGCTATAACGAATTGTGTCCCAAGGTTTTTCCTTCCAACCTTATATCAGCCTTAAAGTTTATTATATGTACTTCAACATGCTTTTGTGATGCCTGAAGTAAACAATTTTCTGGATGCAAGGACATGGTTTTCTCAAGAAAAGTCTCCTAATATTTGAACAATGTTGAAATGGGAAATGTATAATCACAGTTGACCTTGGCATGTGTACTAATCTACATTTCCTTGTATCTTTGATTTTCTTTGTTGTAGCCGCTGATAATTTCATTAAGAGCGTGGTTATTTCCAAGTTTTGGAAAATTAGTCCTGGAAATGATTTATGAATATAACATTCTTGTGTTTGTTGTATGTTTTAATTTTTTTTTCCAGACATGGTTGATTTCCAGAAATGTCTCATCATATTTTGCTTGGGTTTTGTTTGCATGGTTAGGGGTGGGTATATTCACTCCCATGGGAATATTGGAGGCTTCAGCTTATCATATATCCCAACTAGTAACTTCCATTCTCACTGTTTTTTTTGGTTCTACCAGTTGAATTTTGAAAAACACTCCCATAAATGTTAAACTCTAACGAAACAGTTTTGTTTTGATTTATCTAAGAATAACATTCCACAATAATATTCCTGGAAATATAATTAAATACCTAGAAACAAACACCACCTAACTATTGCAAATTTTACAATGGAGTACAGGATGATGCTTTCTTCCTTCCATTTTGTTTACTGATACAATTTTTTTCAAGTCTACTTTACATATTCAAGTGTATTAATTTGTACTTATAACTTTCTTTTCTTTTGCTAGGAATCTTCAAATGCTGGAACAACGAAAGATGATTTTGACAATGAAATTGTTAACATTGATTCAAAGGGTGCTATCATATTTGTCATAGCAGCATCTACTTTTCTTGTGCTATTGTTCTTCTTCATGTCATCTTGGTTTGTCTGGGTGCTGATTATACTTTTCTGCATTGGTGGTATTGAGGTAATGTTCATTTCCTTGGATTTTTACTCCTACTCTTGCTAATTAAAAAAAAACAAATCATATTTCATGGTGTGCATGAAGGGGGGTATTGGTTATGAATCTTCCGCAATTAAATTTGCTGTCTATAAATAAACTAGAAGTTTATGTTAGCAATTTGAGTATTTGACATACACCAATCAGATTATACCACATTAGCCTTGTTGATTTCATACATAAGTTATTTAAAGGTAAGAAAAGAAAGGAAGAAAGTAAAGTCTCTTGAAAGAAAGGTTTTAGGAGCACTAATACCAGCATCATTGTCATCAAAATACTCAATCTAAGCTTTAAATTTTCTCTGTATGTTAATTTAAATTAGTTTTAATTTTCAGGGCATGCATAATTGTATTGTAAGCCTCACTTTAAGGTACAGCCGATGTCTCTCTGTTTTGTGGCCTGAAAAGGTGCTCAGTGTTCTTTCTGCATGCCATGGGTTCTGTTAATTTTATTTTTATCTATTTTAAATATTGCAGAAAATGCCAAAATTGTAGTCAGAAGATAGTGAGTTTACCTCTATTTGGGGAGATTTCTATTTTCTCATTGGTAGTATTGATATTCTGTGTGGCATTTGCGGTTTTCTGGGCTGCTACTCGACAGGAATCATATTCATGGATTGGCCAAGATATTCTTGTAAGTTTCAGATTCTAATACCTGCAAGATGGTCTTTCTATTATCATTTCAGTTTCTAAATTCAAACTTATATTGTTCGAGATGATTAGAATATGAAATTTTCTCCCTTATCAAAAGTTGTCCATGAGTACCGACTGTCATTGGAAGTCAATAGGAAGCCAGGAACTTTGTATGAAGAACTAGAGCAGAGGTTTCAATGGTTTTTAGTAAGGGTGAGCATGAATTGAATTTTTAAAAATCCAATCCATATCCACCAATTAAATGGATTGGATTTAAAATCCATATCCATATTTTTCTAAAAACAAGTATTAAATTAACAACAGGTTTTAAGTAAAAAAATGGTTTTAAAACCTTGTTAAACCATGATCAGTTTTAAAGTCAAATTTAAATAATTATAATGATTTAAAATTATATTTTCTACACTTACTTTTAAATATTATGTTAAGCTTACAAACCATAATGATTTTAAAAAAATTGGATTTTTAGTGAATTAGTTTGAAACTGGTTTAGATGTTAAGTTCCAAAATCGGTTTTAAACCATAAACAATTTTAAACCATAAACCAGTTTCAAACCATATCTAGTTTTAAAATCGATTTTGAACTTAAAAATGGTTTTGGACCCCCTAAGGGTGGACATGATTTGATTTTTTCAAAAATTCGAACCAAAATCAAACCTAACCATAAAAATGGTTTGGATTTAAAAAAAAAAAAAACATTGTTCTGGAAAACAGTTTTGAATTTTTTGCAAACCGATTTAAAACTGATTTTAGGTTCAAAACATGTTTTAAACTGATTCAGTTTTCAAATTGCATTGATCCAGTTTTAACCATAAAATCGATTTAGGTTTAAAAGCTAAAACAAATTCAAATAGTTTCATTTTAAAACCACTAACCCATCACCCCATCCCATGCCCCATCTTTCAATGAAAGTGTTTTTAAGAGTTATCTTTCAATGAGAGTATTTTTAAAAACTATTCCCACTTTCACTAGGTAACATGATTTTTCTTATCCAACATTTTCAATATTTATTTGAAAGAACACCGGGAGTGGAACAACCCATCTGAGTACATAAGAGGTTGTTTGCCAAAAGAGGTTGTTGGAGAAGCCCCCAAATAGGCAATTCTAGATAAAAGAAAGGTTTGGACTGGTGCAGTTATGGTTAGGTTTGGTACAATGGATTTTTCCCCCACCCTTAGTTTTTAGTTTAGGTCCTCATAGTGTTTATTTGTGGATGATTCCTATTTGACTTTCACATACGTTTAAATGAATTCACTTATATACATGTTACATACATATGTACGCACAGACACACACTAGCATCCATGTGCATGTATAGAGAAATTACAAAAAACAGATATTTTGGGTATAAGAAGTCTATCAATCAATTGGTTATGTATGTTAACAAGCAGCTATTCATCAACCATTCTGAGCATTGTTAACTATCTGAGTTGTTAGTAGTTCATAAACTATAAGTATTTTTACCATAATTTCCTTGTAATTTTCCCTATTCCTAATCTTCAAGTTGGTTGTCAAATCATTAAATAATGTCTGTGTGTAAATGTGCACATATGGGCCAAATATGACATTGGAATCATGGTTGTTTCCATAGTGGGATTTCTGAAGTATTGATCTAAAAGCCAGTATGTAATCTCAATTATGTTTGGCACCATAAGCTGTTTGATTTTTATTGTATGCTATTCACTTGAAATATTGCTTTGTTCTTAACAGGGCATCTGTTTGATGATAACAGTCTTGCAGTTGGCTCGATTACCGAATATTAAGGTACCTGAATGGATTCCTTATACAATCAATTAATCATTCATCTCTTACTCAGTTTGTTATGTATATATTAAAACAGCTCTAATAATTTCTTATGCATCATTGCTATAATAGGTTGCAACTGTACTCCTTTGTTGTGCCTTTGTCTATGACATTTTTTGGGTATTCATATCTCCAGTGATATTCCACGAGAGTGTTATGATTGCAGTAAGTGTCTACTCACTAGTATTACTATGGTTCTTTTACTTCTATTGTCTCAGCTCTGTTTGCATCTCTAAATCTATAGTAATATAAGTACTTATTTTCTTTTACTTGATAAAAGAGAAATATTAGTAGAAAGGGAGAAGATAAAGTATAAACATAATGTTAGAGGACACAATATCTTCTAAAGCATATCAAGAATAAAATATACGAACAGAAAAATTCAATGACTTTTAGCTGATTAATGTGTATATATTTACTTAATTGAGAACATAGAATTTAAGAGTAATTCAGTTAAAATTGTTGAGATATGACACGGATTTACTTTTAACAGATATGATAACCTACATTTTAGGACAATAGCTAGATAGGTAGGCTAGCTGTATCGTTTAGGAATAGGATCTTTTTTTTTTTTTTTTTTTTTTTTTTTTTTTTTTTTTTCCCATCTCTTTTCAGCCTATATTGTATCTGTGTGTGTCCCCTTTGTACAGCCAAAATTATCAGAAAATACAATCTTTTATCTCTGTTCTCAGGTAAAACCTAAATTCATGGAACTTAACTATCTATGCACAATTGTACGGCCAAAATTTCAAATACCCTTGACCACTAAATCACGGTTGCTTAAGGAAGGTAATAAGAGTTGGAGAGTCGATCAATGGTGGCAACATGGAACACATACCACATGTGAGTAAATATTGGTCTTGGTCTTACCATTAGAGGAGGAGGCCCATGTGTTTCCATGCTCCATGAATGCACAAGTATCATCATATGTTTAAGTATCAGTTATTACTAAAAACGGGGGCTGCTTATAGCCTCTAGTACAAGTTTAGATACAGCCTGTGGTACTAGTTAATTAAAAACAAGGGCTGCTTATATGGGTTGACTAATAGATACCTGTAGACATGTAGTAAATAATATGCTAGCTACTCTATTAACACTAGTATTCTTTTTCAAATGTACTGTGTTTTCTCTATTTAATGTTGCTTTACTAAAATTGAAGAGAGAATTCTAGTGTTTTATAGTTTTGTGATACTCTTAACATGGGCTTTCTTTTTTAGGTTGCTCGAGGTGACAAGGCTGGCGGGGAAGCAATTCCTATGCTTTTGAGATTTCCCCGTCTCTTTGATCCCTGGGGAGGTTATGACATGATTGGATTTGGAGATATTCTCTTTCCTGGTTTGCTTGTTTCCTTTGCTCATAGGTACTGAATTCCTTATTTAGTCAACATCATATATAAATGCAAGATTTACAAAATTGAAGATGTACATATGAATGCATACTGTATATTTTGACTACCACAGAAAACGAAGAATAATGGATATTTGTAGTGATATTTGTTGAGTAATTTTTGCCTTACTGCATTCTACTGGGGGAGCTACTATTTGGCTAAGTAAATCATATGCTTTTGAACTTGTATTCACTAAACTATATTGCCTGAATTTCCTATTTCAGTGCATACAATATATTATAATGGTTTCAAGGACCAATTCTCCCAACTCCCTATAATTAAAGTTGATAAATGAAGGCCTTTTATTTTTCTCTTTTTTTTTGGGTCTATGATAGGTGAAGGCTTTTGCCATTTATTATATAACTTGCCCCCTAAAGCAAGGACAATGCTCTGGCCCATTTACACTGTATTGAAATTCAACTTACATTTACAACAATGGAGGCAGCAAGGATTGAATTCTTGACCTTTAGTCATTAGAAGTTGAGATATGTCAAGGACCAACTATCCCAGAAGCTTAAGCTATTATGCAATGGCTTGTTGATGATTTTTTATGTGTAGATATGTCTGTACATAAAAATATCCAATAGTATTTAGATTTTATCTTTAGACTAATTTATAATAATCTTTGATTATGTTATATCTTAGGATTATTTTCCATATTTTCTTATATTTTGAGATCTGTTTCCGTGTTTAATTCATATTAAGTGTCAAGTACAAGTAAAATAGGATTATTGTGGTGTCTTCTGTATCACTTCAGAACACCTTACACATTATGTCAAGTCCGTATCATTTTCAGAATATTCAGTCTCAAATTTGTCTTTTCTCCATAGATGCTATGTCCCCATAATTTCAGCATTGACATTCGATGAACTTGAAAATTGAAATTGGAGTGCATTCTGCCTGTTGTAACATTCAAGCTGTTATGCATAATTGCATATACTTGAGATTTGAGTTGTGGCAAAAAACTGGGAAACTTCCTAGCTGGTTATATATATATATATATATATATATAGATATATATATATATAGGTCCTCTTAAAGACTTAGTTAGAATGTCTGCAAGTTGGTTATTAGAGTTGATAAACTTGGTAATAAGTTCCTTGGACAACAGTTTCTCTCAAACAAAATGACAATCAATCTCTGTGTTTGGTTCTCTCATGAAACATCGGATTGGAGACAATATGAAGGACTGCCTGATTATCACAGTATAACTTCATCTAATTGACTTCACAAAATTTTAACTCTTGAAGGAATTGTTTAATCCACACAAGTTCACAAATAGCTAAAGCCATAGATCTATATTTAGTTTTCGCATAGGACCGGGCAACAACACTTTGTTTCTTCCTCTTCCAAGAAATAATATTCCCTCCAATGAAAACATAATATCCTGTTGTGGATCTCTTGTCTATGGGATAGCAAACCCAATTTGCATCACAATACCTCAAGACTTGAGTATTTCCCTTGTCCTCATACAATAACCCTTGTCCTGGAACCCTTTTAATATAAATGAGAATGCGAATCACAACATTCCAATGGTCAATGTGAGGATTTTTCATGAATTGACTAACAACTCCGACTGTGAATGAAACATCAGGTCTTGTAATAGTGAGATAAATGAGTTTTCCCACTAGCCTCTTGTACCTCTGGATTTGAAAAATTTCACCTTGGTCTATCATTAGCTTCTGATTTGGATCCATAGAACTATCATTTGGCTTGAAATTTTCCAAACTTGTCTCTTTCAAAATACAAGAGCATATTTTCTTAGTGAAATTACAACACCTTCCTTTGACTGAGCTACTTCAATACCAAGAAAGTATTTCAGACAACCAAGGTCTTTAGTCTGAAATAAGTGCTCTTTTAGTTGAGAAATCCTAGTAGCATCATTTCATGTAATAACTATATCATCAACATAGACCATTAAATAAACACACTTCCCAAGAGAATGACAATAAAAAACTAAATGATCTGCCTCACTTTGTTTCAAACCAAAAATCTGCACAATGTGACTGAATTTACCAAACCAAGCTCAAGGTAATTGTTTTAGTCCATACAAAGAGTGATGCATTTTACAAACTAGATCACACTCCCCCTGAGCAACAAATCTAGGAGGTTACTCCATATAAATCTTCTCCTCAAGGTCACCATGGGGGAAGACATTTTTAATATCAAGCTAGTGGAGTGGCCAATGACAAATAGCTGCCATAATAAGGAAGAGCCGAACTGTGGTGATCATAGCCACGGGAGAGAAGGTATCACAATAATCAAGACCATAAATTTGAGTGTATCTCTTGGCTACCAACCCAGCTTTAAGGTGATCAACTTCACCATTAGGTCCAACTTTAACAGCATAGACCCATCTACAACCGACAATCTTCTTTCCAGGGGGTAGATGGACAAGCTCCCATGTGCCATTGTGTGCAAAAGCCTGCATTTCATCAATCATGGCTGCTCGTCATCCTGGATGATCGAGTGCCTCATTGCTAGTTTTAGGAATAATAATAGACAACAAAGAGAAAATAACAAAGAAGTATGAAGGAGACAAGTAGTGATAACTCAAAATTATAAATTAGATGAAGATTACGAGTAGACTGATTACCTTCTTGAATATCAATGGGCCAATCTAAGTTGGAGTCATGAGAAGGCGTGGAGGATGAAGGGTCCATGGTATGGGAAGTTGTTGGGGGAGGATCTGAATCACGAGTTTTCAGCTTGTGCCCTATGCTGATATGTAATATGCGGGGTGGAATAACTTCAGCTGAATCATGAGTATGAGAGTGAGGTTGATTTTCATCTTGGTTGGGGTTAGGATTGGGAATCATAATCGGATCGGAGAATGGAATAGGAAGAACCTGTTGAACGAAAATAGGATTGTCCATGGAGGATGAGAAAAAAGGTGTGTCCTCAAAGAAGGTAACATTAACATACATATAATACCTTCTGGTAGTTGGAGATTAACATTTGTATCTTTTCTGAAGGCGAGAATATCTCAAAAAAACACATTTAATAGCCTTTGTAGAAAGTTTGTCTAAACCTAGAGAGACATTATGATCAAAGCAAGTACAACCAAACATTCAAGGAGAGACATGAAATAAAGGGTCATTTGGAAAAGTGATAGAATGAGGAATCTGATTTTCGAAAGAGGAAAAAGGCATATTATTTATTAAAAATGCATCTTCCCAATGATGTATGGGAACATTCATATTCAACATGAGGGAGTGTGCAGTTTCAATGAGATGTCTATTCTTTCTCTTTGCTATGCTATTTTGTTCTGGTGTGTGAGGACATGTGGATTGATGTAAAATACCTTGAGGATTAAAAGGAAGAAAGTTCACTAGAAAAACATTCTTTAGCATTGTCACTTCTGAAGATTTTAATTATCTTGTCAAATTGGTTCCTAATCTCATTAAAGAAAGACATAAATATAGATAAAAGTTTAGATCGATCTTTCATTAAATAAACCCAAGTTCATCGAAAAAATTCATCAATGAAGGTTACAAAATATCTAAAATCAAAAGATGTGACACGGCTTGGTTCCTAAATGTTTGAATGAATGGTAGAGAAAGCCGAGTTACATCTTTGATCGGTTTGTTTAGGAAACGATGACCTAACACTAATTGACATGATTCACATTTCAAACTGGAAGTGGCTTGAGAATAAGAACCATTATCTTCAATTTTGCTAAACTTGGGTGACCTAAATGGTCATGCAAAAGCTTTGGTGCTTACTGCTAAGGTTGCAAAACAGGACATAGGTGGGCTGGGTTTTAAGTAATAGAGACCTCGTGATTCATGTTCTTCGCCAATCAAACGACCCATACTATATTCTTGTATGACAAAGGAATTAGCATCAAATATTACTAAACAATTTAATGAACGAGTCAATTGGCTTAGAGAGATTAAGTTATAAGGACAATGAGGGATGAACAAAACAAAATTTAATTTTAAAGGAGACAAAGGAATTTGACCAATTCCTTGAGATGCAACTTTGGACCCATTGTCTACAGTAACAAGATGAGAAATTTTTGGAGAAGAGATGAATGAAAATAAGGAACTGTTATTAGAAATGTAGTTAGAGGCACCCGAGTCAAGCATCCATGGACCATGACCTTCCACAGATTGAGAAATACATGTTGTTGAAACACTTGGTACATAAGAAGATTAGACTTAGCTGTTAGTTTTTTCAGATTTAAGCCTTAGATAATCTTGGTATTCCTCATCAAAAAACTTGAAACTTGATTTTTCAGATTTATACACATAGGCTGCTTTGTCAGGAAAACCATGCAAGGAATAACAATTTTCTTGTGTATAACCCATTCTTTTACAATATGTACACCTAGAACGTCCACTTCTACCACCACGTCCTTGATTGCTACGTCCTCCTTTTCCACGAGGTGCTACCATTGCTGAAGTTTCAGTAGTTTTAGCTGGTTTTCATCTTTCACCAAGATAGGAACACAAAGAAGTCTAGTGATTAAGCTGTCCATGGAAGGGATTTGGTTATCAACCAGAATTTGATTACGTGCATGATCAAAATCTAAATGTAAACTTCTCAAAATCAGAACTATATATAACTTATCATGTTTTTTGTTGACGCCTTCCAATGAGTCGGCCATAGGAAATCTTTTAAGTTCTTCTATTGTAGCTCGGGCCTTAGCTACATGTGAGACCATATCATGGTTGGTTTGTTTGAGAGAAGCTACTCTTTGGGTTTCATTAAAAGAATGTTGAATGTCATTAGCAAAATATCTTGGGTTTCCTCCCAAAATGAACGACATGTCTTAAATGACCTGAGTATCTCTAACACCTCAGGTTCAACTGATTTCCATAGGACAGCATATAGTTGGATGTCAAGTTTCTGCCATTGAGATTTATGTTCAGTAGGAATAGCACTGGCTTTTTTCTCCAAATGGTCATAATATCCTTGATCAAGGAACCACAACTCCATTGAGGCATACCAAGACAAATAGTTTTTCTAGTTCAGTTTTGTGCTGGTAATGGTAAGAGTACCACAAAAAGGGAAAATAGGACCTGCGAAGGCCATTTCAATTATAAGGATGAAGGAGAAGAAACGTGACTACCAAGCCCCACACTTCTAAGTAGGCCAGCCTTGATAACTGAGGGCAGAAATGTGACTAGAAGGGGCGACGAAGCTTCTGGAAGTGGTCTGACGAGATTCCGGTAAGCAGAGGGCGGCACGTGAGATTCACATGCTAGACAGGGCACCGAAGAAGATCAACTTGTGAGGGAGTGAGCCTGGGTATTAGGGCCTGCGACTTCCTGGGTTGGGTTGTGCTCCTCAAGGTGCACCTAACTTTGTATTCGTTGGAGATAACGGTAGTGTCTGGCAGCAGTGGACGGTGGCCGACAATGACAGACAGTAGCAGACTGGTAACTTAAGGAGATAGAGCAGGATCTAACCCGTTCTGATACCAACTTGAGATTTGAGTTGTGGCAAAAAACTGAGAAACTTCCTCAGCTGGTATATTATATATATATATAAAATAAGATCAGAACAGATACACAAAATCAGGAAAAGGCTACAGCCTATGGACCTAAACCCTTAAGTTAGATAGGGCCAAAAAGCAGTTTTTATAAAGCTGTACAACATATAATAAACAATTGGTTTAACACATATCAACCTCTAATACTGTATTTGATGAACATACATAGTATAGTGGCACTTACTGCCACTTCTTATGCAAGGAGATTCAGCAGGGTCTTATCATTATTTAATGCATGCAAACTCTAGAAGACTAGAACTATGTATGAGCATCTTTACCATCAAGGTCCTGAAAGGGAACAGAACAAATTCCATCTGTAACAACTTGGGCGTAATTAATGTGTATGCTGTAGCTTTCTTATGCTTGGGAAACATCAGCAAATCCATTTTAATATTCCTCTCTTTTAACTGAAGATTTTATTTATTTATTTTTAACATGATGTTAAATGGGCATTTTGTTGCTTCTGCTTTGTGGGATTAATAAAACTAACTAATATAAAATATGGAAAGAATATCACACCTGCTCAGAAGTAAAATTCAATCAAATTTCATGACATTGCAAGCCTTCTATCCTTTGGATTGTGTTTCATGCATATTCCAAATGATTTGATGTCACTTAGAGAATTTTTTTTCTTCTTAAAATTGCATTAGGCAACTTTTTATTTTTGTACTCTGGACTAAATGCTTTGTTTTGACATATTTATTTTTTCTTTTGGTTGTCATAGATTTGACAAAGATAATTGGAGAGTAGCAAAAAATGGATATTTTGTTTGGTTGGTAATTGGCTATGGCATTGGTAAGTTCTTTTGTTCCATGTTTGTATTGAAGACTTATTAATTTCCTCCCTTCTTTGGAACACTTTGGCTAAAATTGTGTTGCTAATTTTTTTACCTGTGTACATTTAAAGCCAAGTATTTCTAGGGTTTATTTAAGCATTGTTTGTTTAGAGTTTAGAGTTTAAGATTTAGGTTTTAACCCACTGCTTGAAAACTGAAGCAGAACTGAAATAACTGGTATATGCTTCCTCAATCACACGGAATCTAAAATTAAGTTAAGAATGTTAAAGATCCAAATTTAGTTATTTCATACCACAACCTCATCTCACCCTTCTGTTTGATTCATTGGCTTTTACAATTTCTGCTTAATTGCTTCCTGAGCCACCGAAAGGAATCTCATGAAACAAAACTTCATTTGTTTTTCTCAAGTTTTTTATGGCTTTTATATTGTTGTGAACTAGGCAAAACCCTAATAGACGTCTAGCTATTAAGGAGTATATTCTATAGACTCAAGGAACAAATATGAGTGCATGTGAGGAGACATGACAGTTTTATTTTATTTTATTTATTTTTAAGAAAATAATTTATTAAGATAGAAGAGAAAGGTATAAAAGCAAGAGGATAAGAAACATGTATGCTAGCTCTTATACACATTTAACAAAATCAATGGTGTAAAGGATACACGTTCCTTTTCGTGGGAGGTCAGTTGTGGGCTTAATAATGAGGGAATTTCTTGGTGTTATGGCCTTGAGATTTTGGTGTATGAAGAGGGCATTGCATTTTCCTTAAGTGGCTACATCGTATCACCAAGTATTTAAGAGCAAGTGGCTTTACAGCTTAAAGTTATCACCAGAGAATTTTGATTATAAGCCTTTTTTCTAGCAAAATAAGCTAATCCTAAGATACAATGCATGGTTTAGAACGAACTTAGTGAGTTTCTAACCCAGTCACGCACAGCAATTCACGACCATTTATTTCTTTCTGCTTGGGTGATGGTTTGAATATATTGATGAATTGCTACTGCATAAGATACTGTACGTTCATACACATAATTGCTGATTTTTTATTTATTTTAAATTACCATTTCAATAAAATTGATGATGACTTAAAGTCCAGTCCTCTGATACTATTTGTTTATGACATCATAGATGTTCCATGTTGATTTGTCATCTGTTTGAACTTGTGATCTGGATTTATTGCGATAATTCTTTTATCGTAACTTTTTGTTTCAGGCCTCGTTTTCACATATTTGGGGCTATATCTGATGGATGGAAATGGACAACCTGCGCTTCTCTACCTTGTTCCATGTACACTAGGTAACTGTATGCGTAGTGATTCTCGTTGTGTAAGTTAAAGCTATCTCAATTTTCATGCCCAATTGTTGTCTAATTAAATCAACAGGTGTCACTGTCATATTGGGATGTGTAAGAGGCGAGTTGAAGACCCTTTGGAATTATGGCACAGACTCATCGTTGTCCACTGAGCCTTCTGAAGTTTAACTGAATACGTTATTCATCTGAGCTGCAACTTGGGAAATGTTATCAGCTCAATGGTATGGAATGCAAGCAAAGGCACCAGGTGTACAGGCTCCATTACTATCTTTTGTATTAATTAATTAACGATCGAGTGCTCTTTATGGCTGCGTCATAGTTATCTTGTAAAAAGAATGAAAAACAGATGGAAAAGTAGTTATTCAAAATTCACCATCATATGGCTTCTGGCTATGCCATTGGAATTCTTTCACTTTTCTAACTGCTGTAGTGAAAATTGAACCGAAGTTAGTAATCATTTTTCATTTCTTGTTCAGTTGTCTGTCAAATCCTCATCAAACTAAAACTAGGCTAATTCTTATTAACGCATTCACGAGGTTAGATGAGTTACAATATCTTTATAAATATATAACATTAATAAAAAAAGTAACAATTTTTATATTAACTTTAAAATTCATTTTAGTATTTTCTTATTAATTATATTCACCCAAAAAAATTATTCATTTGCAAAAATGAGCTAAATTAAACCTACACCTTAATTACTACAAACGAGTGGCAGAACCACGAATTGATGAGGTGTACACAAGCACCGTCTAAGAAAACTAGTAAAATGTCTAGTAACCTTTTTACAATATTATGATTATTTTTTTGGGTAACATAATATTATATGAGCGTTCGCTTATCTACTTGCATTTTGGAATCTGATTAATCTCAAGCCAATGAAATAGTATTAATTGTTTTGTGATAAGTATAAATCCTGCGTGACTTGATTCAGCTTAAATTGTGCTTATCACTCCTTAGTTGTTTTGTTCACATGAGAGTGAAGTTTCCTCTATAATCAAGATTAGGCACTCATTACATCGTCAATACGTCATGCATGATCTCTTATCAATCACAGATTCACAGTGTTTCTATTTAAATTATTTCAAAGACTGGAGTAAAATGTCTCCCATAGTCATATCTGTTTACGAAAACGATAGATGCACATCATTAATGTAAGTACCAATATAAAATTAATGTATACGAATTCGAGGGTGAATTGCATATAACTCATATTTATCCCATGGTCTAATAATCTTTTTTGTATGCCTGGACCTTAAGGCCGAACTAAGGAGATAGAACTTATTTACTAAGTAGGGAAAATGAATTTAAAACAAATTACCAAGTCAAAAACTGCAATTTAACCAAGGTTGAATGAGGGAATTTGATAGGAATTGTGACGAGTTAATATTCGCTCAGCTGCTTAGTCAGTTAATTATTAGTTATGTTCGATTATTTGAATAAATGGGACTTCCAAACAATTTACCAGATAATTCATAAACTTACTTGATTCTCCCTCGTTATCTGCAATCAGCTCTGAGTCTGACTGCTATAAAAGTTTTGATGGACTGAGATGTGACTTACTGCGTTTTGTTCCTAACATTATAAAAAAAAAGAAGAAAAGAAATCCAAATCAACCCTGACTTGATTATGTGACTTCTTTGCCACCCCATATTCTACCAACAACATCTTCACATGTCTTTGTTTGTAGTGAATACATTAAAATTTTTCAACTCTCTTATTGTTGTGTGTCCTACCACCACACACTCACGGGTTCCTTCTATGCACACACCACACACTCGCTCAATATAAAATATTGTTACCCTTGCCACCACCAATCATGATATAATTACAAATGCTTTAATTTTGTAGAACCTTCTTCACCCTCACTCTTCAGTTGCCATCCATGGATCAATTTCCAATTCTCCTTCTCCTTGTCACATCTCTCTTCTGTTTCCCTTTTGTGCTCATTGCTCAATCTCCGACTCCGATTATCTCCAAAATCAGTGTAGTAGGAGTTGTTTATTGTGATACCTGCTCCACGAGCACATTCTCTAAACAAAGCTACTTCTTGCAAGGTAATGCAATTAAGCAAAATATTCATATCATAGAATTTTGCAATGCACTGTTTCATTGGTTTGTTCGAATTAATCAGGTGTTGAGGTTCACGTACAGTGCAGATTTAGAGCAACCTCACCAAAAACTAACGAGCAGATAAGCTTCTCAGTGAATAGAACCACAGACCAATATGGAGTGTACAAGTTGGACATACCATCAGTGAATGGAGTTAACTGCATGGATGGTTCTGAAATTGTGTCACTTTGCCAAGCAAGTTTGATAAGGAGCTCCACTTCCACTTGCAATGTTCCCTTTCTCAAGAGCACAACACGTGAGATTTCAGTCAAATCAAAACAAGATAACCTGTGTGAGTACATATTGAGTGCTCTCAGTTACAAGCCACCTCAAAAGAACACTACCTTGTGTGAACATGAAAATGAGCGATTGGAAAACTCTATGAACTCCTCAAAATTCTACTTCCCTTGGCATCAATTACCCTTTCCAACCTCACCACCAATACCATCTCTACCTTTCCCTTTCCCACAATATCCTCCATTCAATTTACAGGACCCTACAACTTGGCATTGGGTGCCTCATAAACCTTCCCTTTCTCCACCTGCTTTTAATTTAGGGGACCCCTCTACTTGGATCCCACATATTCCTCCCTCACCTCCTAATATACCACAACACCAAAATCCCTAGTCTCTTTTTCATTTTCTTTCTTTATTCTTATCATAATTATATTTGTATGGAAACATGTGATGTGATTGTGTGGTGAAGAACATAGTATAGAAACTATAGTGCAATTCAGTAAATTAAAACTTTATTGGGTGGTAATGTAAGTCGGTGTTGTCTTGTCCAGCTCACGTGTATGCTATGCTCTTAGGCAAAAAGGAAGCAGCTTACAACGAGAATAATGTGTGGACTGGTCACAAAAAGGGATCATAGGATTTTACTTTAATCAATTCAAGATATGTTGGTTGGTAGAATATTAACTTTGATGTCAACCTTTGTTTAATTTATTTAAAGTACTACAATGTCTTGCTTAATTCTTCTAAACAAAAATGGAGGTGTTTGTAATTTTCCAGGTAACTTATTGATTGTACATCAAAATGCTAAATGTGTTACTTTTACATTACACGCATGACCCATTGGTTTAATGCAAGAAGAATGTTATACAGATGTCAGATGTAGTAAATTATAGAGATCAAGCAATGGCATGACACATGAGAGAGCATGATGCTATGAGAACCGGGCACTGGAAGAACAAAAATTACACATTATTTATGTTTGTCTTATTTCACCTTTTCAAACTTGTATTTACTTAATTTTATTCCCACTACCTCACTTATATAGGGGGTGTGAGAAGGATTAGTTTAAGAGTATGTTTGGATATAGTTAATTTGGAGAAAAAAACTTCTTGTGTATCAATTTATAGACTCATCCCCCAGCACCCCTTCTGTTTATATATCAAACATCATTCTTTGAAGTATAAGTTTTTATGGAGACAAAGATGACTGCTAAGTCAGAGCAGTAGCTGACAAAGAATGTTCCTCAATCCTCACAGATTCTTTTATTGCAAACGAATTTGCCTACAGAAATATTCGTACAACATGAAGATTGATAAGTATTAATCGATGATAAGTATTAGTCTCACAAATTTCACACTCTAAATTCTTTGCTCAAGGCTTGAATTGACCATATACACAGAAAGAACGTTATGTTTCTGTTGTACCTAAACCATGATCTGATGAAAGGTCTTCCCATTCCTTTGGTTCAAATGAATCGCTTTGCACTATTTTTCTCAAGGAAAAGTTTCTATAGTGCAGTTGCCTTAGAATTAGAACAAAAATAGTTGAAATACAATTAAGTCTCGGATTTATAAAATAAGAAGAAAAAAAAAATAGTTTATAGAAGACATATATACTCCAATGATTAAGAGACCTTTTGAATAATGACTAAAAAATAAAATTATAAAGACTTAACCCAAAGTGAATAATATTTCATCATTATAGAGTTGTGTGTAAATAACCTTATAAAAATAATTGTAAAAGATAATTCACTAAACAATCCATGATTTATTTATTTATAACAAAAAGAGATAATTCACTATACAATCCATGATTTATTTATTTTTAACAAAAAGATAGTATTATTGATTATCGAGGTCCAGGAAGATTGTCCAAAGACCTTGGAAGATCAATACAAATTGTAGGTGTTAATAAGGATTGGGCCAAGTTTTGGAGAAATTCTGAATCGGAACCAATGAAAAAAAAAAAAGATTGGGTCAGGTTTGTTTAATTAGTGTGTAACGATTGGATTGTTCTATAGTTGGGTTGGGTTCATTAGTTTTAGTTAGTACAAAAAAGGAAAATAAAAGAAAAACCACAAAAACGAGGGAAACCAAAATTTATACAAGTTGTTAGTATAAAAAAAAAAGTATATAATATTAAAAATTAAAGATAATTAAATATTCTTATTTTAATATAATCACGTTGAGAATAAATTTTCAAATCCATCAACCCAAACAAACTTAACATTTTTTTATTATTTCGGATTGGTTTAAGTTAGGTGGATTGATTCAACTCATAATAATAGATAATTTCTTTGATCTATTTTTTTTTTATCAAAATTATGATAAGATTATTTCATGATATTTATTTGAGGGAAAATTTTATAAGAGTTATAACTTTGTTATTTTTATAAAGTTATTTCATACATTTCACAATGATAAAATATTATTCACTTTGGACCTAAGTCCTTACACTTTCATTTTTGATTATCATCCAAAAGACTTATTTCTCTTCTTATTTTATCGATATGCGACCTTGTTTATCTCCTAACAATCCTCTTTTCAAACCTTAATTTTTCATGCAGTGAAATCTGTCTTTTATGTAATAGAAGAATATGTAACTCAGTGTTTATGATAAGTGGAAAGTGACAAATAAAAATCATAATTAAAAAAAAATAGAGAAATCAAAATTAAGCAATTATAAAAATACGTTCAAAATTAAGTAATTAAAATTTGAAACTCACATCAACATAACTTATTAATACTTTGGCTTCACATCAACACATATATCCATATCACCATATGTCAAATATCGCCTGGAACCAAAATTATATAATTTGAAAATATGGAAAGTGATGATGGAATTAGAAGCTGAAGAAACAAAATTGCTCAAACGCTATATTCTGGAAATCATATTTAGTCTAAAATTAGCACAATTTAATATTTATAATTTTGAAAAAGTCTTGTCAGTGGTATATGTCAAAATGAAATGGTTGGAGGCAATGTATAGGTGGGTGGGTGAGTGAGTGTGCAGAGGCAATAACTTATAGGCTGCAATATGTCAAACATGGAAAGAGGGATACATAAATTAATTAATTAATAATTAGATAGAGTTAGAGAGGTGAATGATTGCACATTTTATAATCTTAAGTAGCCATCAATTCAACCTCAAGTTGTCTATCGATCTCAGGCCAACATTACGTCCTATATAGTGACAAAAGTAAGACATTTATGGTAAATATACTCCAGACAAATTAGTCACTATAGACTATATATATAGTTTATAAAACTAGCTAGGTGCATTTCAAATATTCATAAATCTTATAATCATATATAAATTAATAATTAAAAGTTATTTTTCAATCTTTAATAAAATTTAATTCTCTTTTATATAATAAAATAAAATTATTGTTTGTGTTCTATTTATTGTAATATGTTTTTTCGTAGGATATCTCACTGTTAATTAATATTTTTAAAATTCAAAAAATTAATTAATTAATTTCTAATTTTTTTGTTAGAAAATTTTCATTTTTTCCTATTGCTTATGCTGTCAAAATATTCTTTTGTATTAAAATTTTCAATTTCTTTTTCTATATCTCAACTCAACTCAACTGCTTTGCTTGTGTTCTTATATTAACTAATTAAAAATTATTTAAATAGAATATACTCTTTAAAGAGTGATGTAATCTTTTCATATATTTTTATTTTAAATTAATTATTGATATTTTTATAATTCTATATAAATATTTTAATATATATATTTTTGTAAATTTACATAAGCTTTTTTTTTATTTTATAATTTTAAATTTTACATGAATTTTAAAATTCGCACATGATAAACAAAATACTTATTAATTATACAAAGTAAACTATGCATATTGATTCTTCCAAACATAGCATGTCGCGTCTCTCAAATTAATTAGAAATGGTCTACATATTGTTGTGGAGAAATTAATTTCATTGTATTCTATATATCATAATTAAACTGCTTGATAAAGTCAACCGGATATTTTATTGTATGATTGTCATTTTGTGAGATATACAATATAATATTGAATATTGTCACTGGTGCGTGCCTACCAAATCAAAATAAGAAAAAATGTATTAATATAATATGGTTGACCCCTCCACACGTACGTCATTCTTAATTTTAGTGATAAAAAAAAATAAAAATATTTCATAAGTCAAAGCTTAGTTCACAAAAATACAATATTTAGTTGGCGTAAACATCTTATCACCCCTTCCACCGCCCAACAGATCCTTCATGCCTGATGCCACCATTAGAGTTTATTAATTTACAGATTTAACTAAAAAATAATTTCATTATATATAGAATTAGTAATTCATATTTTGTCATGTAATTTTTGATATAATCCGTGATAATTAATACTAAAAAAGATTTATAAAAATAAATCAAATTATAATACTTGTAATATATATTTTAATTTAAATTTATATATATATATATATATATTATAATTTTGATCTATTATTACAAATTTAACAGTTTAAATATATTAATTTACTATAACTTTATCATCTTAAAATCAGAGAATCCATTTCAGCTTCTTTTCGGAAATGGATGAAGAGGAGCGAGAAGGATTAAAAAGATATAAGATGATGGTTTCTATATATGAAGAATTAAAATTAAGTTAATTATAGGCGAGGGTATAGCTTATTTATAGTTGCTCAAGATGTAACAAGGCTTGTTCCTAACATCACGTATATGGAATTGAAGAAGCCAAAGTAAACATGCATTTCTCTATTACGATGGAGTTCCACAATCGCTTGCAATCTGGATCCAACGGCTTCTACTAAGACTCTTAGATAATTTTTTTCACATAGGTTATTTGTTAACAAATAAATAAATAACTTTTTTCTCCTTAGATAATCATGATTTAGTGTTCGGAGTACCGGAAGTTTGTTGGCATCGTTAGGGTTACCGCATCTAAGTCTTGACTCCTAAGCGATATGAGACTTTGAGAAATAGTCTTCATCTTATAAATTAGTTTTATAGAGTTGAGTTAATTCTGAATTTACATTTTAAGAATTAAATAGTATATAACGGCCAACTCTTACCTTACAAATCAATTTTGTAAGATTCAATTAAATCCTAAATCTATTATTTTAAGATGATATTAAAACTATGTAAATTTACTTTGAGTTAGGTTCTAAATTCATTATTCTAAGATAGTACATAAAAGTTATCTATATCCACTCCAATTTTAAAGGATTGAGTTAAATCTTAAATCTATTATTCTAAGATAATATCAAAACTATCTAAATTCAATCTAAAATGGTCATCCACCATATATATATGCGTTAAATCCAATAGTATTGAGAAAAATTCAAAGCTCGCATATCCTATAAATCATTAAAAAGGATCATTTATCATTTATTCACGTATCAAGCTCACCAGTACTAGATGTGAGGAATTGTATTGAAAAAAAATTCGAGTCTTACATCAACTAGGAATAAAATAATTAAAGAGTATAAGTGAAGAACATTTTGACCTTACAAACCAATTTTATAATATTGAATTAACCCTTAAACCTGTTTAAATTTAGAATAATAATTATGTATAAGGCAATGATTTTTAAACATCTATTTTTAAAAAATACCATTAACGCTTTTTATTTTTCTCCATCTCTTCTTCTTATTAGTATACTATATCACTTGTCACACCAATATTGTTTTTTAATCTCTCTCACTGTATGCGCACAGTAATATTGTTGTGTCGAAAAGAGTTGGTTACACATAGGTAAATAGTGAAATCCAATAGCGGCCACCACACTACTAATATTAGTGATTGTGATGATGAAGAAGAAACAATAGAAGTTGGAAAAGTGATAAAAATGAAAATGGAAATAGGACGAAGCATATACATATATGATACAAGTTACAACAGCAGAGCAGAAGGAAAGAGAATTGAAACGATGATTATTACATTATTCATGCAGGAATACTAGGACAAGAGATGGAGTTGGTAAAGATGCAGATGGATTAGAAGGGGTTGAGGGCATGCATGGAGGAAGTGCGAAGAAGACGATAAGCGGAGGGAGAACGGTTGACGCAGGTGCAGCCTTGACGAGTCTCTTCACAGTCCATTTCCATCAAGACCTTGTAAAAGATGTCAACGTGGCAAGGAAGAGCCAAAGGACCCTGGCTGTTGTAACCGTACTCAGACTCAGCTTCTTCGAGCAACATCTTGAACAAGGGATGGTTTGCGTACTCAGTTTTGATAACAAATCTCTGCATCTGGGGTCCCACGTAAACACAGAAGCAACCTTCAGGGGTCACACTGCTTTTCTTTGACTTTGACCCCTCACGGCTTGGCCACGATTTGCTCCTCAGAGTCATAGCCACAGGATTGGAAGAATTCACCTTGCGGCCTCGTCCTATAGACTTGCATCGCTCCCATGTTTTGGTTATCAGCCCTCCTTTCTTCTTACGCATCACCCCATCATCCATCTTTTTTTGTTACTTTCAAATCAGAGATATACAAAGATAAAGGGATCTAATAGGATGGAATTACAAGCTTAATGAATAGGTTGGAGAAAGATGTCATGTGTCAACCCCTGTCGTAAACCAAATAAAACATGGCCTTACTCCTTGGCCTCATGGTGTTGCTCATATCTATGTGTGTGCAGAAGCAAAGGAGAGCGACAGAGACTAGACAATAAATCAAAAAAGGCTAGGATCTGAAAGGAACTACTAGTATATTGGATTCAAGGGAAGATGGCCATCACATATATAAATGAATTGAATTGATATGAGATGAGAAGCTCACACACAGGCACGGTCACAGGTTGTTTCTGCCTTCGCTTTAATTAAGGACTCGGCAATTGCCATGAACAAACCCGCCACCTGTTGCCCATTATATAATGCATTTGTTTTGCTCTTTGGGACTATGCTATACATTCATTATTTCTTGTGGACCATGCACCCTTTGTCAACGCTGCATTTTCTTTCCTTCAATTATTATATTCAATGCCTACACTGACACTACGAGTCCAGTTTCTATGTACGAGAAAATGTAATTAAGACTACTGTACATCTATTTTCTCTTCTTCTTTCCCAACACACTTCAATTCAAGTAACGTGTAAGGAGACGTAACACACGTCAACTAGACCTACTTCTTACTCCTCTCACCTTCTCTATTCATCTTATCTTTTTTCACTCCATACATATTTATGTCCAATTACAACCAACTTCCTAATATTCTTATTTTTCTCTATTATTTAAACATTTTTTATAAGGTTTTATTATGTTATTATTTATTATTATTATTATTATGTACAATGTATAACTAGTTTCATATATTACTAATCTTTTTCATTGAGTCTCATGGATATTTTTTTAGTAGTTTCTCTATTTTGATCATCAAGTTTTTTCATCCATATGATTTAAATTTAAATTCTTACTTAAGATATTAGTATTATTTGAACCAACAATTTATTGATTGTTATTATTTGGACCAACAACTTATTAATTATTATTATTGTTGTTATTATTACTACTGTCAAATTTTTCTTTACAAATTTACCATATTCAGAAAGGTATAGGGTCATATTCTTAAAAAGAATAATCTTTTGGTGCATATATTGTAGTTAACATGTTTTTACTTACCTCATTATCTAATACGTTGATACGTGTATTTGTTAATATTACATGTAAATCTAATGGAGCTATTAAAAAATTATATATATTTTAATTTAAATTTAAATTTTTTCTTTTATTTTTCATTTAAATATGTGAAATTATGAATGTCTATCGAAACCTCTAAATACCAAAGTTTTTCTTTGTTCAATAATGACATACACAAAATCAATTGATATGGAAAGTGCTCATTCAATGTGCAAACATACTTATATTCAATAAATATAATCATATAGAAAAAGAATTAGGGGAGCATACTTTGGTTGCCTCAGCCACCAAGACAATCGAACAATGTACCTAAAAAGATAGCTTAACCCTTCATTATTCTTAGTCAAGATGATTAAGCTTCATTACTTGATACAAGGCGAATAGGCCTAAGACTCGACATTCTCAATTGTCGAGAAAGATTATGTTTTCCTTATTTGTAAAGTTCTTGGTGTTCTCGGCATACGAAGTAGTCAATATGATCGAGACTAATTGATGTATATGCACATTCAAACTATTTGTGATGATCTTGACATTCTTAGCGATTGAAATGGCTAAGAATATCGAGGTTGTCATGCCTTGAAACCTTTATAAAGTGAATTATGTAATAGCAAAGGGAATAAACAAGGTTAAGAAATTAATTCATCGCTAATAATCATATTACCTAATTGGTAATCAAGAATCAAAGCCCAACAAATATAAGGCTATTATGGTTAGTATAAATAGTTACACAAATTGAGGTAAGCTACTATTCATTTATTTCTCACCTAGATTTTTGTGTCAAATCCTGATTTGAGCGTCAGAGTGTTTTTTACAAGTACCCCATCCCTTAGAGTTGTCGATTAGCTCAGAGTTCGAAGATCCCAAATCTCAGCGCTTTACCAATGTACCCTTGGATAAGTACATTTTGGTGCCCACCATGAGGTTAAAGACAAAAGGCTCCAAGTGACAAAGAATATGATTCATGATATTTACCACAAAAAAGAACACTATAGTTGAGGACCCTTATTTTGAAGAAGACCATGTCTAAGTGGTCGAAGAGACATATCTCTTAGAGGTTGTTTGCTGATTAAGAAAAGAGATGGCGGTTATGCATCAACAACACGAGAGGGATGGTAAAGTATTTTTGACACTGCAATTGAAAATGCCCATCTAAAGAGCCAGGATCCCTCTTGAAAATAATCCCATCCAACATGCACCCAACTTGAAATGTCATCTTTCCCTTCTTAGGGATGATCCTAGTCCTCACTTCCCGACCACACTAACAAATACCACACCTACATTATCAACTCTCAACCAACATAACCATAATATCTCAATTAGGCCACATTGGCATCCTTTCTTTTCCTCCATCATGAAAGCACCACTTGTTGACCACTAGAAATCCCTTCTTTTGGATATGATGACCTTTCAAACCTAGACAAGCAAATAGATGTCTTTGAACATCATGGATGACACAACTCTTTGTCGCAATTTCCCTACCTACCTAAAGGGAAGGACCTTGAGTTGGTTCACTCATTTTCCACCCAACTCAGTTAACTTATTCAACACCCTTAATTCACAATTCATCACCATTCAGTTTGTTACTAGTCGGCCTCATCAACTAACTTCCCTAACATTTGTAAGTATCAGACAAGACAAAAGTGAAACCACTACAAGAAAAATGCAAATTATTAACGGATACAAATCTGTCAGAAAATTTATATTTTCGACGGACTTTATCAACGAAAAAAAAAATCGAAAGAAAAGTTATATTACCGTCGATACAAATTTGTCAAAAAATTTATATTTCTGATGGATAATTTTCAACCGATACAAATTTGTCAGAGAATTTATATTTTCGACACATATATCCGTCGATAATTTTTTATAGATACAAATCTGTCAAAAAAATTATATTTTCAATGGGTAATTTTTGAAAAATACAAATTTGTCGGAAAATTTATATTTTCGATGGATATATTAGTCGATAATTTTTTACAGATACAAATCTGTCAAAAAATTTATATTTTTGATGAAAAAAATACATAGAAAAATTTATATTACTGATGGAATATTTCTGTTGAAATTTTTTGACAAATGCTTAAGTCAATTTTCTAATGGAATGTTATTAATGGATAATGGTTTGTCAAAAATTTGATCTATCAAAAATGTTTAATATTCTATCAGAAATTGCATTCATCAGAAATGTTTAATATTCCGTTTAGTAACAATAAAGATGATTAAAATTGACAATCATATATTAGAAAAGATCAATAAAATTATATATATATATATATATATATATATATATATAGAGAGAGAGAGAGAGAGAGAGAGGAGGAGGAGGAGGAATCAAATGACTCATAAAGTAACTCTTAGTAAAGTTACT